ACACACACACACACACACACACACACACACACACACATATATATATATATATATATATATATATAATATATATATATATATATATATATATATATATATATATATATATATATATATATATATATATCCTGAAAATCAGTTGAGCTCTCTGGGGACGAGGTGTGGGTTGGTAAACAGTGACTATTATAGCTATATAGCGAGACTCTTCGCAGATGCGAATTGAGTCACTGTCAGTCACTGGGCGTGTTTGTAAAAATAAATACACTCAAAAATTCACTTTCATCCCTACCGTGCGCCGACGTCTTAATGGTTAGAATCTCCGACTGACACCAATTCAGTCGGGGTTTCGATCCTGGCTAGAGGCAACCGGATGTCTAGCCACACTGAGGAGCTGTGAAACAGCGAATCAGTCTGTCTGTGGATGACGTTATATATATATATATATGTATATATATTTAAGTAACGAAAATCTTGGTAATCCGTATGGATAATCCCAAGGAGGAAGAAATCCTGAGCGAATAATGTAATTTAACGAAAAACAGTCCACTTTATGGCTCCATTTGTAAAAATTTATTTCAACAATGAATTATATTTTTCTCTGGATTTTCAGACTTCACTTTCAAAGGTGAAACGAAAAATGAATTTAAAATTTACACTTTTGACGGGCAGTATTAAACTCATATAAGTTGACATAGAGGGCGGTGAGGAATGGTATGAGAATAAAAAAATATATATATAATGTGTGTGTTTCCGTGTGTGTGTGTGGAATCGATTATCTAAAGTGGATGTGCCGGTAGTATTTTGTTCGTGTAATTGACTTTTCGTCTATCTGATCCAATCATTAAAAAGGAAGCCATACGAAATGCATAAGAAAGCAAGTTTAAAGGGTTTCCTTTCATTCAATCGATGAAATCAGTAAAAGAAAAATGGGGGACATTGCTTAAATCATGTTACATTTTACCTAGGAAATAAAATCGCTATCTACCATTTAAATAAGACTCATGCAATAATAATAATAATAATAATAATAATAATAATAGTAATAATAATAATAAATATTTTCAGTGCGTTGAATAATATACGTTAGCCTGGGAACATTCAACAGTTTTCATATAGAAATTAACCAAACCCGCTCTTTCGCTTTCCGCCATTTCAGTTTAAGAAATATTTCGTATGGAACTTTTGATTTTCGTATAGCGGGGGAAAAGCTGTAAATATTCACATGTTCTTTTGATTATTTCAATGTTTGATACATTATTACCTGGTTTCTTTTTCTATTTCCTTCCGGCCTCTTTTGCTTTCTCTTTCCCTCGTAGACATTTATTTAAAAATCATGTTTTTTTTTTCTTCTCTTCTTGTGGATTTCTCTCATCTCTCTATCTCTCCCCTCTCCCCTCTCCGCCTCTCTAACTCTCTCTCTCTCTAACTCTCTCTCTCTCTCTTTCTTTCTCTCTCTCTCTTTCTCTCTCTCCCTCTCTCTCTCTCTCTCTCTCTCTCATACATGAAAATTCATGAAATGAAATATCTAATTCACAGTTTCGTATCATGATGGGATCAAGATAGATGTTATCAAGTGGGAATTCGTTGTTTCATTAAGTATTTATGAACCATTTATTCTTCTTGTGAACATCAATATTCAAATGGCCTGTTGTAATAAAATCTGTTTATCCTACTCTTGTATTTCAACTTCCATATGATTTGTTGTATTTAAACAAAAATTTATGATTATTCTGTTCTTATATTTCAATTTACCTTTCGACTTTAGTATTATATTCATTTAATCTAATGTTGTATCTCAATTTCCATGTGCTGGATGATATTTAAACCTGGTTATTCGATTTTTATATTGCGATTTCAATTTCGAATTTGGTATAAAATCCGTTCATTAAATTGTTTCATTTGAAATTCATTAATTTGTCCCATTGGATTTAAATGTGTGTATTTTACTCTTGCACGCCATTTTCCATATGAACTATTGCATTTAAAACTCTGTTAATGCTTCTGCTGTAATTACAATTTCATAATGCCAATTCTGTTTATTCTTCTCCTGTATTTACAATTTCATAATGACAATTCTGTTTATACTTCTGTTATATTTACAATTTCATAATGTCAATTCTGTTTATGCTTCTTTTGTATTTACAATTTCATAATGTCAATTTTGTTTATTCTGCTGTTGTATTTAAAATTTCATAATGTCAATTCTGTTTATTCTTCTGTTGTATTTACAATTTTTTAATGTCAACTCTATTTATACTTCTTCTGTATTTACAACTTCATAATGACAATTCTGTTTATTCTTATTCTGTATTTACAATTTCATAATGTCAATTCTGTTTATTTTTCTGCTGTATTTACAATTTCATAATGTCAATTCTGTTTATTCTTCTGCTGTATTTACAATTTTATAATTTCAATTCTGTTTATTTTTCTCTTGTATTTACAATTTTTTCATGTCAATTCTATTTATGCTTCTGTTGTATATCGATTGTCTTGGGTCACATTTTTTTTAAATCCGTTTTTTATTCTGTATGGTCTGTGAAATCTAAACCTGGTTATTGTGTTCTTATATTCCAGTTTCCACTTTGCCTTTGGTTTAAATCAATTTATTGTGCTGTTATATTTTAATTTGTATATGTTATGTGGTATTTAAATACTTTATTCTATTGTTGTTAATCTAATTTCATATGTGCCATAGCATTTAAATCTTTGCTTCATCTTCTTGTATTTTAATTTTCATATGTTCAGTGGTATTTGAACCGTGCGCTTCAAGTCTTTATTTTTTCAATTTTCATACTCTCTTTGGTATTACCGTATATACCCACGTATCATGCGACTTTTGAAGACCAAATTTTGAAGCTAATTTTAAGAGGGTCGCATCATAGACGAGATATAAAATTAGAACGTATACTGCTGGCGCTGGATACGCCGTTGACCAAACTATATATTCATTTACTGTAGTCAAATTAGCTTCAAAATTAGGTCTTCAAAGGTCGAATGGTCCTTTTATAGAAAAGGCACGGGGAAGCTATATAATACTGGTGGGAAAGTGACTGAAGTCGGGATGCCAAGTTACATCCGATAACATTTCGGATTCTTGGGATTTTTTTCAAGATTCTCTATATACGTAGCAGAAGCACCGGGCCAGATGTAGCAAAAAATAATCAATGCTCGGATGATTGATAGATGTTGCATAGTTGTTTCTAGTAAGAACTAAATTGTCTAGCACGACACAGTGAACCAACTTTCCTAGCAGAAGACCTAGCAATTGATTCAATAGAACCGTTCCACTTCATATCAATGGAAAAAAGGATAAACCGCAAAAAGCCCAATGAGTTGTTCTTCCGGATATGACATCATCATGCTGACGGAACTCAAAAGGGTTGTTTAAGAGGATTAAAAAAGACCAGTTTAGTTTGGGGGGGGGGGCTATAAAATTAACAAACTATTTATTATCCTAATTAACATCGTTTTATTTTCCTTCTTGTACTTTTCTATATATTTTTTTTAATTTGTATTTATTTATTTACTTTATTTGTTACTTATTCTTTAAGATCCGAGAGTTTCTCTTTCTCTTTTGTTTTTTGTATTTTTTTATTATAATAGATATGTGTCCTGTCGTACTCGATAATATATTGCTCATTCGTACTTATATATTACTTGTTCTTCTGCTTCTCGATCTTTCCTTCTCTACTCCTTCTCTTTCGTTCTTGTTTCACTTCGTCGATAATGCTTTACATATAATCCGTTATATACTTGTCCCCTTTTCTTTATATTTTTCCTTCTCATATATATATATATATATATATATATATATATATATATATATATAATGCTAAATCATTCTTATTTCGTTATATATTGCAGATAGTTTTTTTCTTTTTATCAAAAGTGACAACTGGCTTCTTTCTTTTCTCCAGAGCTGACGATTTTCTTCGCCCATTTATTTTTTATTTATTTCTTTTCCATGACTGACAATGCTCTTCTTTCGCTTTCTTTTTTCTTTCATATTTACGATTGACATTCCTCTTCTTCCTTTCTTTCTTTCTTCGTTTCTTTCTTTCTTTCTTTCTTTCTTTCTTTCTTTCTTCGTTTCTTTCTTTCTTTCTTCGTTTCTTTTTTTCTTTCTTTCTTTCTTTCTTCGTTTCTTTCTTTCTTTCTTTCTTCGTTTCTTTATTTCTTTCTTCGTTTCTTTCTTTCTTTCTTCCTTTCTTTCTTTCTTTCTTTGTTTCTTTCTTTCTTTCTTCGTTTCTTTCTTTCTTTCTTTCTTTCTTCGTTTCTTTCTTTCTTTCTTTCTTTCTTTCTTTCTTTCTTTCTTGTTCGTTTGCTTGCTTCTTAACGGATAACATTCTTTTTTCTTCTTCTTTGTTTCATTTTTGTTCGCTTGCTTCTGCACGGTTGCTATCCTCCTTCCTTTTCTTTTTCTTCTTTTTTGTTTTCTTCTTCTTGACAACTGAAAAATTTTCTTTCTTTCTTTTTTAATTTCTTACTCGTTTGCTTCTTGACAGCTACCATTCTTCTTCTTTTTTATTTTATTCCTCTTCTTGTTTTTTTGTTTGTTTGCTTCATAACAGCTACCATTCTTTTATCTTTCTTTCATTCTTTCTTCTTCTTCTTCTTCTTCTTCTTCTTCTTCTTTCTTTCTTTCTTTCTTTCTATTACACTTTTGTTTCTTCCTTTCTCCTGCTTTGTTTTTACTTTTCTATCTTTCTTTCTTCCCCGTTTCTGTCTTATCTTCTTTCTTTCTTTCTTTCTTTCTTTCTTTCTTTCTTTCTTTCTAGGTTTTCTTCTGCATTGATGCTGTACTTCTCCCCACCTGACAATTTGCTTTCTTTTGTTTCTCTTTCTTTCTTTTCCAGAGCTAACCATCTTCTTCTTTTCATTCTTCTTCTTCCCGTCTATTTATCTATTTTCTTCTTCGCAGATAAGAATCTTCTGCCATTCTTTCTTTTTCACGATTGGTATTATTGATTTTGTTCTACTTTCTCTTCATAGTTGAG